CAGGGAGACAAACAGACGACCGTTAGCCGCGAGGGATGGAGGCCCCCAGAGGACACAATTCCTGCGGGCTCGAAGCTCCACGGGTCGAAACTGCCGGAAGGCGGGGTATTGGGGGAGGTGCGGAGGTTGCCAGGGGCCACAACTCCCTGGCATGGCGCGCGAAGCAGGGGCAGCCGGGGCTTCCCCTGCAGTTTGTCCAGACGGGAGACAAACAGACGACCGTTAGCCGCGAGGGATGGAGGCCCCCAGAGGACACAATTCCTGCGGGCTCGAAGCTCCACGGGTCGAAACTGCCGGAAGGCGGGGTATTGGGGGAGGTGCGGAGGTTGCCAGGGGCCACAACTCCCTGGCATGGCGCGCGAAGCAGGGGCAGCCGGGGCTTCCCCTGCAGTTTGTCCAGACCACTCATCTGCGGAGACTGGGAGCGGTTGGAGGGAGTAGCCAGGCCCCCAAAACTTCTGCCACGTGCCCCTCATGCCTCCAACACGCTGCCACATGCACCCACTACAGACCCCGTACGACAACACGACAGCACCTGCCCGCTGTGGCTGTGATTAGCCGGTCCGTGCACCACTGGCATTGAATGCTTCGCCAAGGGCACCGCAGGCACTTAACAGGATGCCGGGTGGATTGTAAACATATAACACACGCTGCTCCAGGCACAAAATAGGGGGAGGAGACAAGTGGGGTGGGTGGGGCACAGCAGTACATTTTAGCCACATTTCTCCGGCAGCTTCATGATTTCCAAACCGAATCTTTCATTTTTTTTAAATATTAAGCAGAGCCACAAGAAAATCAGCTTGCAGAATCACAGCCTAAATTCCCCGTCGTCCAGCTTACAAATATCATCAGATAATTACTGCCCCCTCCCCCTACAGCCTGCCTACATCAGAATGCAGAGACACACAAATAACTAAGAAGTATGAGCTATACTCATTAATCTCAGTGGAGCGGTTAACTTTGAAGCCTATGATAATTTACACGTTTACATGGCTGATAATTTACACGTTTACATGGCTGATAATTTCAGCATGAACAATAAGCTCAGTTAAGGCTGTGATCGAGACTGCAATATTATTCTGAGCAGAGGACTCTGGTAACATCACTTTTATTTTCCGTTGTACCTTTGATTCCTGTAGATATGTCACCTCAAGTTCCCACTGTGTTATTGGCTGCTCACAATAGTTATGGTAGGGTCAAACTAACATTTCTGCTTTATCAAAATGGAGTTCCCAGCCCCTGTGGGCATCTGTAGCATTATACTCAATTAAACACAACCAAATTAAAGTATCGGCAGGCAAATCCCCCATTCCTGGGTTGTCTTTGTCTCCCTCCTAGAAAATGCTGGACTAGAGCGATAAATAATTCACCTGTAAAATTTTGTATTCTGATCACACTTCCTTGTCCTATGGGCATAGAAATTATAATGCGAGCACTAAAGTCTGCTATACCAGCAAAGATTTGTCTCTCTTTTAGCTATATGTGCCCTGACTCACAATGGAGTTTGGACTAATATTATAAATGCCAGTCTGTCACTCATAAAATCAGCTACACATTTTGTGGCTGATTGAAACACACCTTTTAGATGGAGACGGGTGCTGTGCCAACATCTAACACCCTGGTGTCCAACTAGTTCTGAAGCAGTAGCAAACTAGCCACACACAACCTGCCAAACAGCCACATGTGGCTAGTGTGTTGAACACCTAGGGAACATGTAGGTTTCAGTAGAGTAGGTGATTACAGTAATACTTCCAGTACCAACCATTGTGACATCATGAGTCCACCCACTATAAGAAAGACCTAAAAATAATTATTAAAACAAAAAACAAGTGTGGATGTCTTTTTGTTTCATCATTACTTATACCAGAGCTGCAGAAGTTAAAATGTAGCTCTTTACCTCACCTCTTCTCTGATGCACATCTAGCTACAAAACCAAAATAAACAAAAAAAACCCAAAAACCTAGGTTGTGGAAAAGGGGTTCTAAAGCATCCATCCTGCATACTCTTGAAACACGGACAGGCAGAAAATAACCTGGTGTCAAGGTGATCAGTTTTGGCTCTTTTGGGTTGAAATTCACTTAAGACTTGGAGCTGGGAGAATGAAATGTTGTTATCCATATTGTAGGATTAAATGGTTAAAGACCTGAACTTAATATGACCTGGTTTAGGGTCTACCATAACTTGAACACTAAGCAGAGGGTAGTGAGTCACATCTAACTGAAAGTCACAGAAGAAGGAAACAGGTTTTATTTCTGGTGTGTAGAGTCTATTTTGGAGTCCTCAATTATATCTGACACTTTACATCCAATGAATTGAGTTCAGTAGAACTACTCACTACTACTCATTTAAACATGTGGGAACTATTTGCAGGATTCAGGCCAAAATGATCTATCTAGGGGGATGATCGTCAACGGAGTTTACCACCACACCCTCCCCCACAGTATCTGAGATTATTTTTTACTATGATTGTTACATGTAAGTATTAAATTGTGCCTCAATGCAATAGCGATGATAGTCTGATAGCATACTAGTCCATGGGGCCAGAGATGACGTAAGGTAGCAGGTGAATATCTTTAGGGTCCCAAAAGCACCCACTGCTGTTCCTCTTTCGAGGGTGCCCAACATTTATGACTCCAAGGCTGGCGCACCTGATCTGCGGCCCTCTAACCGCATCCTGGCTGAAGACGCCACTCCGATATTAAGTTGCAGCGATTAGTAGCCTAAGCGCCACATGGCTCGCACCGAGCACCCTCCTGCGGCAGTACAGGCCCCTGCTGCCCGGCCGGAGTCTCCAGCTAGGGGCCGGGTAGCGGGAGCGGATTTAGGGCCGCAGGACAGGCAGGGCAGCCCCGGCAGTGTTGCCGGGTTGGTGGGAGGGGACTAGCCGGGGCGGGGGCGGAGCCCAGGCCTAGAGCTCTCTGGAGGCCTTGGGCCCGGCTTAGGGACCATGCAGCGGGACGTGGGCAGCTTCCCCTTGGCTCCGGGCCTCAGGGCCAAGCTCATCGGCGCCGGGTTCCAGACGGCCGAGGAGCTGCTGGAGATCGGGCCCTGCGAGCTCAGCAAAGGTACCGGACCGGGACCCAGCGCGGGGGGGTCTGGCTCACCGCCCTTCCCCCCACAAGGGCGCCGACCCCACATCTCCCTCCTGCCCAGCGCCGGTGCACCCCGCTGCTCCTGCTTTTGCCCAGGACTGTACACACACTGACTGCCCCTTCCTCCGCACTCTATACAGCTTCCTCTTACGCCCCCTCCAAACCGGGCGTTTGCTCCCCAAGACCCTTCCTTACCAGGGGCGCTGGGATATTTTTTATAGTGGGGGTTCTGAGTGCCAAATTATTAACCCTGAACATAATGGAGATCATTTCAATCCACTCTACTCTGGCACATTATCGTCCTCCTCCATCACCCTTCTTTACAGACCAGGCATCACCCTGAGCCACCCGCATCCACAAACACCCCTCTAGCCAGGGACCTCCACATTCTCTTGGGAGCTTCTGTTGGTGACCATAAGCAGGAAATCTCCTTATTGTTCCATCTCACATCCCTGTCTACACAGGAAATTAGGCTAGTACCTTGCTGGTGAGAATGGGGTTTTAACATGAATTAATTAGTTCATGTGTATAAAGCACTTCACTTGAACAGTGCTCAAATACTGTGTTTAGACTCTGGGTTGTGGTTGGACTCCTTGAGAGGAGGGTCATATCTCATCCAGTCTTCATGCAAGTCCCAAACAGTGAAAGGAACATGTTTTTTCTGCATGTAATTATTTTTACCTAGATCTCAGTGAAAAGGATCTGACTCTTTGACAGAGGATCCTGCTTTTGCTGAGAACTAAATGGAAGTGAGAAACTGAGAACAAGAGCTGTAACAGGTTATCCACACATACACTTCTGGGGTTCTAAACCAAGTAAGCAGATGTCAAATTAGGTACAAAGATAAGGATCACAAGAAATTAAAACAGATCTTCCAATTAGCTAAGATAAATATATGAAATAGCTCAGATAACATGTTATATTTTCTTATATCTCAGATCAAAGTGAAATAAATATTTCTTTAGTTGGTGGTCAGTGTTTTTATATATGTTAATATTTCTGATTCTTTATATATATCTTGCACTGGTCCATGTTTGTGCAGAATTTCACTTGGATTTGAAATTGGTTTTTGGCCCTTGTAAGTACTTTTGTGTTTTCTATTACTTATGACCACTAGGTGTCACTGTCACTTAGTTAAAAGTACTTCATTACCTGTGATTCTGAAGGCATTAACCAGAATATGTGTTCTTCCAGTGAGTAGTAATTTACTATATTAGTCCCTGATGTGAAATGGTGAATTTGTCCTTCCAGGTCTCAACCACATCTATGACACCACTCATTTTTGGCCTCTCATTTAGAGGTGCCTCGATTAGAAGGTACACTCCCACCTGAATCTTGAACAAACCATGTAATTGCTGTTGGATTCACTTCCTTTTGTGTTTTAGTGTCTGTGGATTTTATTAGTAGTGTCATGTTAGTATGATGAACTTTTAGTTGGATAGAAACTAAGTCTCTTTTCTGGCCATGATGGGGGCTTTTAACTTCTGAAAACAAATCTTGTAATTACCAAACGAGAATGGATATTAAAAAAAGCTAGTGTAAAGTGATTGGAAGAAGAAATTTATGGCCTGATTTTTCTGAGGAGCTGAGTACCAGCAGCTTTCATTGACTTCCGTGGGATCTGTGAGTCCTCAGTACTTCTGAAAACCAGGCCACCAGTTTTTATGAGTAATCTGTCTCCAAAAATACTGATACTTTTTGGGTAGGTCTTTTTAACTGGTCTAATTACAGAGCCTACAAATAGAGCAGAAACTGTCTATTTTTACAAACAGTCAGTCCCAGTATAAATAGAAAAAACTGTCCTATGCTTTTGTTTTTCAGAAATTGGAATATCTAAAGAGGAAGCACTAGAAACCTTGCAAATTGTAAGAAGAGAATGTCACAGTAATGCAACAAGGACTACTGGTGAACCTGAGACTGTTAAGAAGTGCACAGCACTGGAACTCCTGGAACAAGAACAGGCACGGGGCTTCATCATAACCTTCTGTTCCGCTCTAGATGATATTTTGGGAGGTGGTGTGCAACTAACAAAAATCACGGAGATCTGTGGCGCACCAGGTGTTGGGAAAACTCAGTTATGGTATTTTAGTTTTAAATTACTTCTGTGCAACTTTAGATTTAATAATGAAATGTAACTAGGACCAAAGTCCTTTATTCTTGTTGTCTTGTTGACATGGCTGCAACCCCATATTGCCATGATGCATTACAGAAATATCTATATACTGGTAATATCTCCTGCTCTGTTTATTCCGCACCAGAACTAATGGTCACTTTAGAGCAGGGGTTGGCAAAAGGGCCTCTGCATGCTGGATCCAGCCTGCCAAGTGGGTTGATCTGGCCTGCATACTCCCTGACGCCCTCCCACCCCCAGGCCAATCAGGGCCTGGGGATGAGGGAGTGCACAAAGTCTCCTTCCCCACCGGGGTGCACAGCACTTAGTCAGCTCTAGCAATTGACTCTAAGTGCTGCGTGCCCCTTGCATGGCGGGGACAAGGAGTGAAAGACTTTGCACGGTCTCCTCGTTCTCAGGACAATCAGGGCCCTGAAGGCGGGAGGAGTGCGCAAAGTCTCCTCTCACCTGCTCCTGCCCTGCAAGGGGCACATGGTGCTTAGGGTCAACCACCAGCTGAGCAGGTTGACTGTAAGCACCGCATGCCCCATGTGCAAAGTCTCCTCCTGCCCTGCAAGGGGCACGCGGTGCAGCTGCCAGCTGTTCAGAACAGCTGGCGGTTCTCTTGGTGAGGAGAGGGTGAAATTTCATGCATTTCCCCTTACCCCCAGGCCAGTCAGGGTCTGTGGGTGGGGAAGCATGAAAGTGTCCTGGCCCCTCCCCTTCTGCGGTGGTCCAGGGCCACTTCAAAAATTTCTGAAGTGGCTCCACAACTAAAATTATCACCCACTCCTACTTTAGAGAGAAGTTGGGAGTGGGGGGTTGTAAATAATTACATATTATTTAATTATCATTCTGTCTTTAACTATTTCTTTTGACAGTATGCAGCTGGCAGTAGATGTGCAAATCCCAGAATGTTTTGGAGGGCTTGCCGGAGAAGCAGTATTCATTGATACAGAGGGAAGCTTTATAGTAGACAGAGTGGCAGACATTGCAACTGCTTGTGTTCAGCACTGCCAGCTTATTGCTGAAACACATCAGGAAGAAGGTATGTGTGTTCTTTTCAGTATTGTACAATAACATTCCTGTACTTGTGTATTTGCAAAATAGTTAAAGTTAATTACAACCTGCCTATATTTAAAAGGTTTATGTACAGATTGCTAGGAGGACAAGTTGTCGAGGTGTCCAGGTCCAGCAGTCTTGACATGGAATATTAGGACCACATTGAACAAAGAACTTGTTGATGTTTAACAGTTCTGAGGGGACACCTATATCACATGAGTTAATTAGTACCCACACGTTAAATATCATCTAGTTAATTTTGACTGGTGTCATTTTGGTCAGCTGTCATGAAAGTTACAATACTGAACAAATTTAAGATATTTTTTTAAACTTAATTTCCATTTTTGCAACGGTTTTCTCCCCTGTATGTTTTAGTACATTTGTGTGCATATCCTGAGACCGCTTCTGATACAATTTCTAGAACATGATTGTGCTGCCCACTTTCAAGCCAGATGGAAAGGAAATTTCCTTCCACTCTTAATTGCTGACTTATGATTGACTTCCTTTTTGTGTTTTCTTTTTTACAAACTTTCAAATTATTTTGTTGTTAGGTGCTAGAGACAGGGGTTGGAGGATGATGAGAGTAATAATGTGTCGAACAAAGATTTTTTTTCCCCCCCCACAGACTTCCAAAAATCCCTGGAGACTTTCTCCCTTGAAAGCATTCTTTCTCATATCTATTACTTCCGTTGCCATGACTACACAGAGCTGCTAGCACAGGTCTACCTCCTCCCAGACTTCCTTTCGGAGCATTCAAAGGTACGGTTACTGCAGGCTTAGCTGAAAGATGCCTCATGTACTTGCCGATGTATTGAAGACATTGAGAGCTTATTCACTGGTGTGAGAAAAGGTCAATCCCTCTGAGTTTCCAAGCAGACCGTGAGCCTGGGAACTGAGATTCGGCTGCTGCCAAACCTTGAATACAAAAATATGTGTTGCTGCTTTTCTCTCTCCGCCCCTGCTACCAATTTCCTTTTCCTCATCACAGATGCTATATTTTCTGAGCACAACAAGGTGCTTTTTGAAAATGTATCTCTATGTCAAGTTTGCACTTCATCAACATGATGTAATGATGCCAGGATGACACCGTACCAGTTTTCTCCCCCCGAAGGACAGCATTCATCACCAAAAGTACTTGCCAACATCTTGGACAGCCAAAGACGGACTATTTTCTCTCTCTCAATACAATTTCTGTTGCTAGGAACAGCTTGAGCTTGCAGCTTAATGGCAGCAAGGTCAACTGCTGAAAAGTTGCCTAGGTTCTGAGTGCAATAGTACTGTAATGCAGATTTCTTCCACCTCCGTTCAGGACTTTTAAATTCTTCAGGGCAAATCTCTCTCCAACAAGCTGCTCAGTGACTTTGTGTAACAGAATACAAATGAATATTGTTTAGGAACGTTGTCCAGGATACAGGTTGGGTCTACTGGTTCATTTTCCATTTTTGGATGATCTTTTGGTTTTATTTATGCTCAGCATGTATTGCCTCTGGTATTACCCTGGCAAAGAGAGAGCATTAAAGGTGCCCCATTGTGTTGCCTATCAAAGAGAGTACACAGCCTCGTTAGTCAAGTTGCTATGGGTTGCTACTCTGTTCCATCTGTGTAGATTATTGATGCTTGGCTTTGAATTTGATATTCTGATGATTGGGAACCACAAGACTCTCTGTATCAAAAGAGTAGCCATGTTAGTCTGTATTCACAAAAACAATGAAGTGTTCTATGGCACCTTTAAGACCAACAGTTTTATTTGCGTGTAAGTTTTCATGGCAAAAACCTACTTTGTCATATGCATGGACTAGACTCTCTGGTGATTCCTTCTGCAGCCTAATATGTGACCTAACAGACAATGACAGTGCCATTTTGTGTTAAAACTGGCCCTATCCCTCTAAGTAGCCTCTGGGCTAAGAGATATAATAACTCCTGAATTGTTTTGTATTAGAAGATTTACCTGATGTTGCTCGGGTCTTAATTAATTTAAAAAAAATAAAATGAAAATGTACATGCTGCATTTAAATCATTGCTCAGGGGTGGGGCTGGGGATGAGGGGTTCAGTGTACTGTCTGCCCCGTGGAGAGAGGACTATCCAAGGTGACAGCTGCAGGAGGGATACATGTCCCCCAGCTGGGGCAGGTCCAGGTTTGACTGCTCCTGTGCTCCCCAGATAGAGTGATGAATTCAGCAAACTGTGCTTTCCCCTCACTTCCTGACAAAGGGAACAGCCAGCAATATTCCCATAAAAATTGTGGGGTCTGGGGGTGCTTATCCCTTTCCCACCCTCCCAAAAGGGCATGTGGGGGGTGGGTGGCTCAGGGCTGGGGCAGTGCCAGATGGAGGGGGGGGATTCCCCCCACCCTAGCCAGCATCTTTCACCTGCCTGGAGAGTCTTCTCCCCCCCTGCCCCCCATATGGTTTTATGAGAAGCAGTTCCATTCCAGGCACATCCCATTTTCCTGGAACAACCAAACCTTTACCTTAGTTTAAGTTATGATAAGAGGAAGTTTGTAAACTGAATTTGGCGATGCTAGCTCTTACTGTTTAGGAGGAGTTTCTGAATAGAGAGACAGACAAACTCTCACATAATACAGTAGATTACGAATCATGTGGATCCTTTTTTCAGATACTGTTGCCCATAGGTGCTGTCTACACTACAGAGAAAACTATGATTTGTAGTAATAAAAATAATTTCAGCTTGAATAGATAAGCCATGGGCAGGGCAACTATTATCAAGATTAGGTTATTGTCTATTTTGTGTGCCTTAAACCCACAATTCTGCTAATTTTTGTGAAAAATGCAATGGAAAGAAATCTGGTAAGTTGAAAGTGAGTTTTACCCATGAAAGCTCATGCTCCTGTGTATTTGTGAATCTCTAAATTGCCACAGGACTACTTGTCTTTAGTTAGGGTATGTCTACACTACCCTCCTATTTCGAAGTAGGAGGGTAATGTAGGCATACCGCACTTGCAAATGAAGCCCGGGATTTGAATTTCCCGGGCTTCATTTCCATAAGCCGGGCGCCACCATTTTTAAATCCCGGCTGGTTCGAACCCCATGCCGCGCGGCTACACGCGGCACCAACTAGGTAGTTCGAAGTAGGGTTCCTAGTTTGAACTACCGTTACTCCTTGTGGAATGAGGAGTAATGGTAGTTCGAACTAAGAAGCCTAGTTCGAACTACCTAGTTCGTGCCGCGTGTAGCCGCGTGGCACGGGGTTCGAACCAGCCGGGATTTAAAAATGGCAGCGCCCGGCTTATGCAAATGAAGCCCAGGAAATTCAAATCCCGGGCTTCATTTGCAAGTGCGGTATGCCTACATTACCCTCCTACTTCGAAATAGGAGGGTAGTGTAGACATACCCTTACAGACTAACCCTGCTACCCCTCTGAGACATCATACCTAAGTATCTGTAGATAGGATGATACAATTTCCTTTTTTTAGTCTTATTATTCTATTGTTAAACTGATTTGCTCATTCTTGTAAAGACCAGAGTAAATCTTATAGCTAAATATGATGCACCAGACAGACACCCAGATCCTGTAAAAGAGAATCCTAGAGGGAATGAGAGAGAAAGCAAGGCTGTTTCTCTTTAATTCTGATGATTTCAGCTCCACCTACCACTTCAAATTCTTCTTTCCTGTTGGATTCCCAGTACCATTTCCCAAAGTGACATTTGCTGCAGGCTTGTACATTTCAGCCCTAAAGTTATTTTCCAGTGATGTGTTAAATCAATAGTATAGCAACAAGGTTTTCCCATTGTAATTTTCAAGCTCTTGCATTGTGCGGAAATGCAGGAACTTAGAGAATACCATGATTAGCTGTTTATTAACCACTTGAACAATACTAAAACTACCAGGTCTACCTCCTATACTTGAAGCAGTTTTGGCCATCATAACAACTATTGCAAATGATGCGGGAATAAATTAAAATCCTCATCTGCTATGAATGGTGATGAGCCTGTACCAATGTTCATGTTCTAGCTTTAGCTAATGAATGCTCCAAAATAAACTGTTCAGCAAAGCAAACATCTACAGGGAAGACAGACACTGAACTCCATAGTGCAGTGCCATGTATATTTTTAAACTTCAGTTAAAATACATATTTCCAACCTTGATCTCTGCTTACCTTGATGAGTTACCTTGACCATGAAGTTCATTCTGTTCTTTTGTGCAGGTTAAATTAAAATAATAGTTCAAGCTGAGAACTTGAGAAGCAATAACCCATGCTTAACTTTCAGTTTCTAGTCTCAACCATTTATTGTATATGAAGTAGATTCTGGCACATTTGAAATATTCTGTTGGATATCATCACTAGTTTGTAGGATACAAGCTTAACGCCTTTTTTTTCCCCCACCCCCCTGCTTTCTATGTTTAGGTCCAATTGGTTATTGTTGATGGAATTGCCTTTCCTTTTCGCCATGACTTGGAGGACCTCTCACTGCGAACGCGGCTTCTGAATGGCCTAGCACAGCAGTTGATCAGCATAGCAAATGCTCATAAATTAGCTGTGAGTTTGGGTGTGAGTGAGTCAAAGGAGATGATGAAATTTTATTGAAGAAGTCCCATGGTATTTCAGTGCATGTTTCTTTCTCATGTTCTCCACTTATAGTGATGTTTCACTTTGCTACAACTGGTCTGCACTGTGCTTGCAAGTGAGAGAACTATTACTGTCTTTCCAAGGGGATTATTCTCTGCTCTGGCTGAACATGGTAGAAAAGAAGCTGTGTGTCTAACCTCCACAGGTTACTGACAAAGCTGACAGCACCCTTTCCATCTGACAGGAACAAAGTGGTGCATATATCTTAGGGCATGTTTACACAGAAGGGCAAAAGTCGAATAAAGCTGCACAACTTCAGCTACGCCAGTTGTGTAGCTGAAGTCGAAATAGCTTAATTCAGCTTTTGGTACTGTCTACCCAGCAGGAAGCTGAAGGAAGAACACTGTTCCTCCAACTTCCCTTACTCCTTGTGAAATGAGGGTTAGAGAAGATGGAATAAGAAGTCCTCCAGCTCGCCATTATTTCAAAATAATGGCTTGCTGTGTAGACATGCTCTTTTTTTTATTTTGGAATAAAGTTAGTTATTCTGAATTAATGCTGCTCTGTAGACATGCCTTTATCGAGATGGAGGGAGTGCAGAAGAGGCTTTCCCATGGCTGCTGTTTCATGTTACCACTTAATGTGACATTTTTTCACAGAGGTTTAATTCTGTCCAGTTGAACTTATCTTTTGTCACTGGTAGCTTCTCTTATTTAAAACATCTCAAAAAAGTTGAGCTAGACCTCAAGGAAGCCTTCAGCTTTTCTCCACGTGTGCGCATGTTTAAATAAACTGGGAATCCGTGAATTGCCTTAGATTGGCATGCTGGTTTAGAAATAACTACCATCTTCATGAAAAGACCACTCCAAGGAACGAATGCCACTTTCTTTGCTGTGGTTTGGGTCAGTGCTCTGGCATCCATGGAAACCCATGGTTTCCTTCCTGTAGATTGTTTCTGCATCATTTACCTCAGTATGGGCGTCTGCAAATGTGCGGGCAGGTAGCCAGCAGATGGCACTCAGGAGCTACAGCTAAGTATAAGATGTTTTTGAAAGCTTACAGCACAGAGAAGCATTGTTCGGGAATTAAAGCTTCTGCAGTCTCAAAATGGTGCTTGTCCACACAGTTTCCAGGTGACTTGATTCCTTGTCATCCAGAATGCTGTCATGCAATTGGCTCTTGTGTATAATGCTAAAAATAAACCCTCCCCCTGTGTTTCCTGGAGCTACAGCTAAGTATAAGATGTTTTTGAAAGCTTACAGCACAGAGAAGCATTGTTCGGGAATTAAAGCTTCTGCAGTCTCAAAATGGTGCTTGTCCACACAGTTTCCAGGTGACTTGATTCCTTGTCATCCAGAATGCTGTCATGCAATTGGCTCTTGTGTATAATGCTAAAAATAAACCCTCCCCCTGTGTTTCCT